TTTCGTTTATAATTGTAATCTCGTAAACTAAGTAATTTAGGAAATTAAATATTTCTGAATCGATAATTTAGTTTTGACGATTAACTACCGATCTGAGACTTTTCTTATATAATTGTGTGTGAAATAAATAAGAAAATGTAATCATGAAGTAACATGACAAATAAAACAGATAGATGTATTATGGTAATAATTTATTTTATAAATTGTCGCCGTCATCGCTGTCGCTATCGCTGTCACTTTCTGTAACATTTATTATAGAACACACACACTGATTGTTTATCGATTTTTGTGTTCATCACTACACTATTATATGTGGTATCATTATTTCACAAAATGGCAGTAGCTAATGTCAAATCTGGAATCGAATTAAAATTCCGAGTATAGTGTTTCATGTGCGTATTTCCTTGATATTTTTTTTTTAAGTATATGGAAGGTATATGGAATCTTTATTCTTTTGTTTTTACTTTAAGAGTATTGGTTTTGGCAAGTTATTTTGCCGCGGGACGCAAAACGAAATAGATTTCACGCCGTATTATGTAATATGAGAATTTTATAGAAAGATATGTGATGCGAATATGAATGTTATGATTTTATGTAGGTAAATAAAGATTATTATTTCTGAAATGTCAATTTTTAAACTAAATAGTAGTACATACGTACTTAATGGTTGTGAAAAAATTAAAATTAAATTTTTATACTTTCTCATATTTTGTGTGTTTTTTATTTTTAACCCTCGCTTTCAAAAGTGTAGAAGAGCCATGCTTCGGCACGAATGGGCCGGCTCGACCGGAGTGATACCACGACCGAGCAGAAAATCGACGTGAAACAACGCTTTCGTTGTGTGAGTGAGGTTACCGGAGGGCCAATTCTCCTCCCCCCTCCCCAATCTCAAATTCTTAATTCCTAAAAGGCCGGTAACGCGTAACACCTCTGGTGTTTCGAGTGTCCATGGGCAAAGCCGATTGCTTACCATCAGGTGATCCGTCTCCTCTTTTACCGGCTTATTCAATAAAAAACACACATTTCTATAGTATGTCGTGTTGGCCCGGAGGCTTAAGACGCCCGCTTCTCATGCATGAGGGCTCGAAACCTACCAACGACAAGTACCAATGTGACAATATCCGAGTTATATGTACTTTCTAAGATTATTTAGACACCACTGACAAACGGTGAAGGAAAACATCGTGAGGACCTGGGCTTATAATTTCTTATTATAAGTTTGTAATCGCCAACCCGCATTGAGAAAGCGTGGTGATTAATGCTCAAACCTTCTCCGTGTGAGAAGAGGCTTTGCTCAGCAGTGGGCATTTATTGGCTATTGATGATGATTTCTACAATGTTAACTGTAGGAAGACTTTTTACAGGTCTATTTATATTTTTACTTATCAACGCTTCATGCACAAAGTGTACATAAAATGGTACTTAATGCTTTTTTCTCCCAGTCTGACCGTTGGGTGATGCAGAGAAGAGTTAATGGTGTGAGCAAGAAGCAAGCAACGATTTAATTGAGAAAATAGAAGATTATACTAACATATTTCAGATATGAACATAAATGAATATAATAATAATATATGTACCTACACACGAGTACATTACAATATATGGACATACATGTATACATACACATAGACTCATCCTTACTATATTATAATATTATAAATCGGAAAGTGAGTTTGTTTGTTTGTTTGTTTGTTTGTTCCGCTTTCACGCCGTAACTACTTAACCGATTGCTTTGAATTTTTGCAGACGTAAAGTTAGAAGTGTGGATTAAATAATAGGGTACTTTTTATCCCGGAACAATTTGGTATTCTCGAGGGAAAAAGAAATTATTAGTATAGATGGCGCTGTGTGTATTAGCATATGTCACATAGGTTTTTTATCCTTTTGAGATGCGTGCGAAGCCGCGGGTAAAGTAGTATATAAATATGAACATAATTACTAATACTCTGTAAATAATTAGCGTGATGATTCATTCAACCTATTTAAGGGAAGGTCACGTAGGTACTTTTTCACGTACTTACTCAAGGAAGGAATTCATTTAGACAGCCTACATTTACTACTTCTTCAGGGTTGAAGAGAGACACGTGTTTAAATCTATAGAGAGCCACACCTAAGCGATAATTCTCGTCTCTTTGTCCCTTGTGACCTGCGCAATGCAGTCAGAACATTCTACATTTTTAAACTCAATACGACGCCTGCAGAAGGTTCACTTCGCTCTATGCACGAGGACAAACTGCCCACAGACACCACTGGACCGACACTACTGTTAAACTAGACATTAGAATACATAAATGCTGGAATACTGAAACGTTACTCAATTTTAAGACGTGCTTAAATATCATGCTGTCTCTGTCATTTTACAAAGAATTTATAGAGACAGAACTATGCTTAAGTGTGACATACAATTGAGTAACGTTTCAGTATTCGGGCATAAGTCAACCAATTTTGAGATTGTCAAAAGTAAGTAATTTGGAAAGTCAAAGTCAAAGTCACAGCATTTAGTTTTATTAATTTTTGACAATGCGTCGAAATTTTGAACTGTAAACTTTCTGCATCTAACCTTATATCATCAAACCTATTAGACGGGTGCATTGCAGTGTACAGCCAACTTCAAATTATTGATCGTGACCTGCGCAGTGGAGACCCAGACAGAACATTCTAGACTTTTGCACTCAATGAGACGACTGCAGAAGGTCTACTCAATCCACTACAAGTAAAATAATTGATATCTGCCAAGTGTTTTTATAATATCTAACCATATACTGAATTAACTATAAATTATGAGTTATTGACTGTTAATTACCGAGGTAACGTTGACCTAATGTAGCTACTACCTAATAGGGTTAATTAAATGAAATAAAACTCCGCTTGAACAGCAGGTTCATATTATATTTGTTCTGGGTGCTTGAAACAAAGAGTAAGCTCTTGAAACAAATCCAATATGGATTGAAATTGCATTGACATTGATTGGAATTTCAATAATGATTCAATGTCAAAACTATATATAACCCCTACCGTAGCTGTTAAGATAGCATTCAGAGTACGGAATATAAAGCCAAACTCAATACCATTTAGTTCATTCAATATCCACGCAATACGGATGCAATACGCACTAGTGTTAACTCAAGACGTTTCACAATACCAATGTCGATCGATCGGAATTAGATTCAAGAGTAAGCCCCCTGATCCGATCTCAATCTCAATCTCAATGCATACAAAAAAATTACCATCTTATGCAAGTCGTTGTAATGTAAAGAAACCATAGCTTGCTAAAAATCGCGGCAACGCCATTTACTTAGAAAATTTGAACTAAATTAATCAATATGAATTTTATGGGTTCTTTACTATTGTGTTGGGTTTTGGTCATCAGCATTCACGTAATATGAGCGGTCGGAGCGATCGCCACGCCGCCTATTGTAGTCTGCGCGACATAACCGCGACTGCGCACGCTGCTCGTGACGAGGAAGAGTCCCTCTGTAACTGGAAACTAGTTTTTCTTAATATATTTACGTGACTGCCTCGTTGGCCGAGTGGTCGTAAGTGCGACTGCCGGGCAAAGGGTCTCGGATTCCATTCCCGGGTCGGAAAAAGTATTACTGGGTTATTTAAGAAAACTTAGTAGTAGCACGAAGTCTGGAATTGTGCCCGGTATATGGCAATAGACTCACCCCCTATTACATGGGACTCATAACATAAATAGTGAAAAGTGGGTGTTACATGGTACAGTGGCATTAAGTGCCGCAATCTGCACCTCTGCTTACCCCTCCGGGGATAACTCCTCCTGAAGAGGGAGTTTCCAGTAAGTTAGACTTCTTCACTTTTATTGTTACATAAAAATAATAGCTACATCTAAATATATCACTCATCGAAACATTGATCTGGACAATGGACCTGCGCAGTAGAGAAAGAATATTCTAGACTTGTGTATTCAATGGGACTCCTACAGAAGGTCCATGTCGCTCAGTGCGCGGGAACAAGCCAATTGAAGAACGATGCGGAGATTCCTTTTCTTGAAAATAACATAACATCACGCCTTTTATCTCCGAAGGGGTAAGCAGAAGTGCACATTACGACACTTAATGCTACTGTACAATGTAACACCCATTTTTCACTATTTTACATTATGATTCCAATGTAATAGAGGGTAAGCTTTTTGCCATATTTCCAGACTCTGTGCTACTACTGAGAATTTTTTAAAAACCCAGTAATAAATTGCTGCCGCGCGAAGTCACCGCGCCCGCGCACGCTGCTCATGAGGAAGAACCCCTCTGTGGTTCGAAACTAGTAGAACTTCTCTCACGTGAGTAACCCGCGATTTTAGTTAATTTAGTATGTCTCACGATAGTTATTATAAAAACCCGGTAATACTTTGGCCGACCCAGGAAACGAACCCGAACCGAACCCGAGACCAGGCAGTCGCATTTGCGACCATTTGGCCAACGAGGCAAGCAGAAAAGGGAGAATTTTTGAATAAGTATATTTGAATTAGTTCGTCCCTGGAAGGCTACGAAAGTTGTGGACAAGTTCCTCTAAATAATTTTGCAGATCCAATCCAATCTCCTTCCTAGAGGCTGGCAAAACAACTGTAACTCCTCTAGTATTGCGCTTTCCATAGGCGACGTAGATTGCTTACCATCAGCGGATCTATATGCTCATTTACCGCTCTATCCTATAAAAAAACCACGTCGCGGAGAACCTAACGGGTAACCGGGGCTCCGGCTCGACGTGCAGGAGAAGGAACGGGGTGGATTTTAGTCAGTAAGAGTCTGACACTCCCTCCCGCCTCACCCAGACGGGAGAAGTTATTCGATGACTTTCCCCCCTTAAAAAAAAAAAATCCTATAAAAACCATAGATTTGTCCTTTGATAAACCTTCTGATTGATTTATTTGTTCAATGGCATGAATACTGCAGCTTTTCAAAGTATTGATCCAGACCTGCGCAGTGCAGATAGACTGAAGTAGACTAGACTTCCTTCGTGCATTCAGTGCGCCGAGCGCCGTACACCGGGAAAGACGTGCTGGTCCTTCAAGCCGACATTTATCTGTGCCTTATCTCTTCATGATCTGGGTAATACAGGTGAGTAGTGCATTGTAGATCCATTCCTGGTTTCTACATTTCTTCTTGTCCTTTGCTAATACGAGGTTCAGCACCAAATTCCATGACCTTCCTGTCTTCAAAATCAGTCCCCTGTGCCGGATACCTGTTTTAAGAACTCTATTATAATTTCCAGGTTCCTGATGGAGAAGCCAGCAGTCATCAGCTCAAGTTGTCTCGAGACGTCAGCGTACCAGCATCTGCTCTACAGCTCCCCACTACTCAAGACTTCCGGTCACGGTCAGTATTAGAGACTTAATTTTTATTATAAGACCTGTGGCGACACATGTCCAATGACAGCTCACACACATAGGCACACATCAACGGACGACTTCACAAATTCCTACATTGCACATGTAAAGATTACAAGCGAATAAACATGACTAGAAAATCCCAACGAACAACTGATGGGCAGGAAGCCCGCCAGCCACGATCACCTCGCCTGGTCGGAGGATCCTCCTTTTCCGATCTTAGGGAACTATACTCTCTGTTCCCTAAAGACCCTTACGAAATCCACCTTCTGTCATCAGGGTGCTTTCTGATTATACATTATGAGCTGCTCAGGTTTCCTCACGATGTTTTCCTTCACCGTTTGTCAGTAGTATCTAAATTACTCTAAAATTTAGACCAAGGGTCTTAGGTTGTCGCGGAGAACCTAACGGGTTACCGGGGCTCCGGTTCGAAGTGCAGGAGAAGGAACGGGGTGGTTTTTAGTCAGTAAGAGTCTGAAACTCCCTCCCACCTCACCCAGGCGGAAGCAGTCATTTTCCCCCCTTAAAAAAAGAGTCTTATGTTAGACTCTAAATAATGTGGTGTATAATATGACCTATCAATTTTACTGTTACAGGATCACCGGTGCACAACAACCTCACCACTGCTCTCCAATAAATGATGCAGTATGACGTCGAAGCTAAACTGACCGATATCCACCACTTTTCTGGGGTGTTAGTGGCTCCTCCACCGCCTTGTGAGCCAAAGTCAACCTCACCTGCCCGCGGTGCACCCTGCTGACTCACGGACGAGGCTCTGACGCCCCTTGTGAGGCGGAGATGATCCTGATCCTCTCAGCCCCCCATGGGCCCATTATGGACTGCGCCTGCATCTCCGTCGCAGATGCGGTACATAATTATTGTAGTCATTACATAATCGACATAGGTTAAGAGGATTATAAGAGGATTAAAAGTTTTTTTAATAATAATAATAAATGTAAATATAGGAGCTGTTGTTTTATTTATAACTAGCGATCCGCTCCGGCTGCGCACGGGTGCAATATGCATGTTTTATACATATAAAGCTTCCTTAAGAATCACTCTATCTATTAAAAAAACCGCATCAAAATCCGTTACGTAGTTTTAAAGATCTAAGCATACATAGGGACAGACAGACGGCGGATAGCGACTTTGTTTTATACTATGTAGTGAAGAAATCCGACTACAATGTGAAACAACGATTGTGTTGTGTTTCGTCGTGTGAGTGTGGTTACCGGAGGCCCAATTACACCCCCTCCTTTTCCCTAATGTTCCAGTCCTTGGATCTACAACAAGCTTCAGAATCCTAATACCCAAAAGGCCGGTAACGCACTTGTAACGCCTCTGGTGTTCCAGGTGTCCATGGGCGACGTCGATTGCTTACCATCAGGTGATCCGTCTCCTGGTTTGTCAGCTTATCCAGTAACAAGTGCATTACAGGCCTTTTGGGAATTAGGAATTTGAGGATTATTTTATGAGGATATTAAGAATATAATTCGAAGTTGGCAAATAGTTCGATAGATGGCGTTGGAATGGGGAGATCGTTAATTCACATGGTTTCATTATATCCTTATTTTCGATCTATGTTTTGGATACAAATTCAGTAAGAACTCGTTTATGCTTAGTGATTATTGATCGATTTATTAAATTCGGCTACTTAGGTCCAGCAGTTTTTGCACTAATAAGTACGACCAGCACCCTCTAGTTGGCAAAATTGCAACCTGTGAATATAGCAGGAACACCATACCTTTGGTTAAACCTGGTCTATACCTCCATACCCAATTCCTAAACCGCCGGCAATGAACCTGTACATACCTGCTCTAGTTTTTCAGGCGTCTATAGGTGGCGCTGATTACTGATCATTAGGTGATACGTCTGCTCTTTTGGTGATTATGTTTTTGAAAGCATGTAAAATAATATGCATATGTTTACAGTAGTCATCATTACAGTATTTACATGAATCAAATTCATGTTTTAGTACTACATCCTTTGCCTCATCGGTTTGGTTTTTGCTCAATAGATGGCGCTAATATAAAAATATCGCGTGGGGGATATTTTTTTTAATAAAGAAAGAAGACACGGAATGGACAGACTTCATGATACCTTAGTGCCATCTGGTGAGCTGAAAAGACAGTTACACTACATGAACGCCATCTAGGCAGTAAAAAGCGCTTAAGAAACCGTGTGATAACGGCATAGTAATGTATTTGATACTCTTCTATCATGTCACGATGGCTGAAGGGATCCAGATGAAATTTAGAACAGCGGTAGATTATGGTTTTTATAACACATAGGCCACTTCTTATGTCCCGGGAACGCGGGCTTAACCAGTGGCAGAAGCTCATCATCATCATCAGCTCAGGTTCGTCCACTGCTAGACATAGGCCTCTCCAACGTACACCACTGAGCTCAGTCTTCCGTTCCTCTCATCCAACCACTGCCAGCCAACCTTGAGGATATCGTCCCACGGTAACTAGTGTAACTCCACTTAAATAGATGGCGCCCTCCAGCTACATAGTACCAGGTAGTCATTGATAAAAAGGAGATCAGGATGCGATGAAATAAAACACAAATTGCCTTAATTATAATTTATAAATATAACTTACATACTAACATTTAATTTGATACGTGAATCAAATCATTTCGGTAGGTTCGTATTAATACTAATATTCGGTGTCTTAAATTGTAAAATTCAGTATGGTATACAATCAGTAGGTTTAAACAACGTATTCAAGAGAGGAGCCGAGAATGAGACCCATGTAAGAAGACCAGGGATATTATAGGAGTATCACTGATGCTCTTGGTGAAATTCTCTACTCCACTCCTCCTCCAGGCGCGAGTCCTAGATGAGCGAGGAGAGTCACTGCAGGACCATTTTTAGAAGACATGGTCCGACAGCCCCTTGCCTCGGTCTGTCAGGACCCGCGCCAGCCATAGTCATCTATTCAGAAGAGCGTTCATAGAGATGTAGCAATACTGTAGAAGACAATGTTGCTACATTTCTAATGAGGAGGTTGGAGGGTCAGTGCGCTGGTGTCAGAGGGTTGGTGCCAGGACCGCGCCTCCGCCTGCCTCCAGCGAACTGGTGACGCAGCTCGTCCGCAGGGCACCTGTAATACATTAAATTTTTTATTATGGTCTATGATTTATTCACGTAATTGTACAAGGTAACTCAACTGATATCGAACATCCATGGACCCCAGCACCCATGCATTCAAGACATCCACGCATCTTTGCATTCCTGCATCCACACATACATTCTTTATTTCTATGTATCCACGCATTCCTGCATCCATACAGCCAGTCATCAATACATTCATACATCCTTGCACACGTCTATATTTGCATCCATGAATCCCCGCATACTCTACTCTCTGCATACAACTATGCATACATCCACGCATCCCTGCAACTGTGTGTACTTAACTTCTTGCATCCCTGGATCCCTGTATATTGCTTGTATCCTACCATCCATGCCTTCTTGAATAATGACATCATTGTATCTTTGCATCCTTTCATGCATGCATCCTTACATCCATGCATCCTTACATCCATGCATCCTTACATCCATGCATCCTTATATCCATGCATCCCTACATCCATTCATCCTTGCATATTTACATTTACGCATCCGTACATTCTTTCATATCTGCATCCATGCACCATTGCATCCTTAAAAAAATTGCATCCTTGCATGCTTGCATTCTTATATACTTGGATCCACTTTTCTATGCTTCCATGCGTCCATGCATCCTTGCATCGTTTCATCCTTGCATGGTTTCATCCTTGTATTTTTATATCATTACATCCTTTCATATCTGCATCCACGTATCCACGTATCCTTACATCCACGCATTCTTGCACCATTTCATCCATCCATCCATACATTCACACTAACTTTCTCAATTTCATAAGAAATAGGTCAGAATTACCTCATTCCTCAAAGAGGACAAAGCGCTGCTGCGGCCACGAGCTGCTCCACCAACGTCAGAGACGACAGGAGACGCTGCACAGCATCAGTCACCTGGAAAATAGCAACAATGGACCTGTAAATATCCGGAGTTGACGACCTTGTGGAGTACCGGGGTTCCGGCTCGAAATAGGAGCAGATACGGGGTGGTGTTTAGTCAGTAAGAGTCTGACAGTCACTCTCGTTTCACCCAGGGCGGGAGGAGTCATTGGATAAATTTCTCTCTCTTTCAAAATAATATAATTATTTTAGAGGAAGCCTCAAAGTAGCTAAAGACCTGATGAAGGTCGCAGGCAGACGCTGGATGCAAGTCGTTTCTAACTGACCTATGTGGAAGTCATTGGGGAAGGCCAGAGCGTGACTGATGTGCCGCGGAAGGCCTAACGGGGGCTCCGGCTCGAAAAGCACGAGTAGGAACGGGTAGGTTTTTAGTGAGTAAGAGTCTGTAATTCTCTCTCGCCTAACTTTCTTTCTTTCTTCTAAAGTAGCGGCCATTTTTATGGTATAACCGGCCAAGGAGCAGACGCATCGTCTGATGATCAGTGCTACACCTGGATACTCGCAAATCCAGAGGAATCACAACCGCGTCATCGGCCTTTCGGGGAAGGGTGGGGTCTCCAGTACTCATGAAATACAACGCGAGTGTTGCTTCAAGCCAGTTTCCTGATAGGGCGTGGTATCACTCCAGCCGAGCCGAAGCATGGCTGTCAGACATAAAAAAACTGACGCAGAAAATTGAAAAAGATGACGTATTGCGCTGATATAGGGAAGAAGTAACGCCCCACTCTTTAATCGATGCACGAAGCCACGCCGAAGTACCTTCGACATTTCAAGAATTGGTCACCAGCCAGAAGATAATCCTCTATTCTCGTCCACTGTGAATAAAGCAGATATTAGTCCACTTACCGAGATGTTAAAGCCAAAGAAGACGGGACACACAGGACTGCGGCTCCGAGCGAGGCTCAGGGACCGACACGTCCTGCACGATCCACGTCGCAGGCCGCACTGACTGCAAGCCGCGCCTCGCTATTACTCCAGAGCTAGACTTCTAGAATATTCCATCTGCACTGCGCAGGTCCGGATCAATACTTTGAAGGCTGCTATACAAATGCATAGGGTTGATGAAGCAAAGACGATGCAGAAGGTTAACTGTCCAAGATTTTGGAGTATTGTTGAACAGTTACCGGTGGAAGCCGAGTAGAATATTTGTTAACTCCCCTATTCTTTCAGCGGCCTAAAGTCAAAGTCAAAGTCAAACCATTTATTCCAATTAAACCATAAATTGATACTTTTGAAACGTCAAAAAATACAAAATAAATAATAGTCTGTCAGTCTTCGACAGAGATCGGGCAACGCTCTCTGATTAACCTGAACTTTTTAAGCTGCAATCTCCGACCCACCTGTCAAGTAAAAAGGTTATGGCGAAACCCGTTCCATGTCGAGGAGTCCCTTAATCCAGCAGTATCTGTGCGCAACATGGTCCCGCGCACTGAGCAACGTGGACCTTCTGCACGCTTCGCATGGAGTGCACAAGTCTAGATTGTTCTATCTGCACTGCGCAGGTCCAGTGTCGGGATCAATAATTCGATGTGTGATATATTTGTATGCAATTATATAGTATTTATGCCACTAGACAAAATATAAACAAACAGAAGGTTCACTTGTACATTGGAAAAAAGAGTCAACATTTATTTGCTAAATAAACGAGATGTCCTCATCATCAGAACAAACGTACAGTTGAAGTCAGAAGTAGAGTAGCAATCTTGATCATTGACTGCACGGTTGGTGCGGTGGCTGGGCAACCGGCTGCCGTGCAACGTGTCGCGGGTTCGATTCCCGCACGGAACAACACTTTGTGTGATCCACAAATTGTTGTTTCGGGTATGGGTGTCATTGTGTTTGTGAACTTGTATGTTTGTAAACGCACCCACGACACAGCAGAAAATGCTGATGTGGGGCAACGTTTTAAAAAAAAAAAAGAAAAAAAAATCTCACAAAACTATGGCTTAACAATAGTTGTATGTACTTCTTTGAGAGGGGAAAATCAGCCCATGGAATAGCGCGCACCTCAAAGAGCCATCAGGCCATCACAGATGGGGATCAGACAGTATGTTCCCGCGCACTGAGTGACGTGGATCTTCTGCATTCTGCAATTCAGTGCTTTTAGGTTATTCTAGAATGTTCTGTATGCACTGCGCAGGTCCAGCGCGCAGGTCACAGCCACACAGGTCACATTCGATGTGTGATATATTAGGATGCAGTTATATAGTATTTATGCCACTAGACAAAATATAAACAATCAGAAGGTTTACCTGTATATTGGGAAGAGGAGCCAAAGTAATACATAGTTAAAAAATAAATCAAAATCTGTGATTTCCTAATCAGGGGAAGTGAGCTGAAGAGATATGCCAATCTAATGTGATAGATACGTTTAGTAGGCAGTCCAACATTCCATCAGCCTCTAACCAGGGCAGCGGACAATCTCTCGGGTTACCAGGGCTTCACCTGAATGAGGCGAGAACACTCCTTCTCGCCTCATTCAGGTTGAGACGAGTCATATATCATTAAATGATTTTCCCCACTTAAAAATAAGTCTATTAGACAGACAGTGCGCTACACTTTAGTTGTGTCTGTGGTCGGACTGTGTGCAATATGTTCCCGCGTACTGAGCGACGTGGACCTTCTGCATTCTGCAATTTAGTGCATTAAAGTTGTTCTAGAAAGTTCTGTCTGCACTGCGCAGGTCCAGCGCGCAGGTCATAATCAATAACTCGATGAATAATAATATATTAGGATGCAGTTATATAGTATTTATGCCACTAGACAAAATATAAACAAGCAGAAGGTTTACTTGTATATTGGGAAGAGGAGCCAACAATTTGCTTAATAGACAAGACGTCCTCATCATCAGAAGAAACCTACAGTCGAACCACTACACAAAATATAAACCAACAGAAGGTTAACTTGCATAATGAGAAGGAGAACTAACAATAAATAGATAGTAATAATTAAACAATTCAAGTAATCCTCAGATTCCCAATTTCCAAAACCGGTAACGCCCTTGTAACGCCTATCGTACTTCAAGTGTCCATCAGCACCACCGATTGCACGTACCGTCAAGTGATCCGTCGGCTCCTTTACCGGCTTATACCATTAAAAGTAAAATAATAAAACTAAATGTCCTTATCATCAGAAGAAAGTCAGAAGTAAATAAGCAACAGCACGAAACTGTATTATGGCAATATTAGCAGTACTTTATTCGGAAGGGCAAAATAGATAGCCAGTAGGGCCGATGCCTGATCTGAAGTCTCAGAAGACTTAAACGGCTCGGTGCTGGAAGAGGAACGGATTATTTGAAGGTTTTTAGTCAGTCAGAATCTGACACTTCCTCTCGCCTCATTCAGGATGAAAAGAGTTATTGGATGATTTTGCCCCCTAAAAAGCCCACGTGGACCTTCTGCATTCCGCAATTTAGTGCATTTAAGGTATTCCAGAATGTTCTGTCTGCACTGCGCAGGTCCAACGCGCAGGTCATAATCAATAATTCGATGTGTGATATATTTGTATGCAGTTACATAGTATTTATGTCAGTAGACAAAATATAAACAAACAAAAGGTTTACTTGAATATTAGAACCAAATTAATTCATAGTTTTAAAATTTCAAAACATGTGATTTCGTAATCAGGGGAAGTGAGCTAAAGAGATATGTCCATCTAATATGATACGTTTAGTAAGTAGGCAGTCCAACATTCCTTCGGCCTCCGACCAGGGCAGCGAACAATCGTTCGTGTTACCGGGGCTTCACCTCGAAACAGGAGTAGGAACGGGGTAGTCAGTAAGAGTCTGACACTTCCTCTCGCCTCATTCAGGATGGGACGATATATCGGATGATATATCATTAAATGATTTTCCCCACTTAAAAATAAGTCTATGAGACAGACTGTGCGCTACACTTTAGTTGTGTCTGTGGTCGGACTGTGTGCAATATGTTCCCGCGCACTGAGCGACGTGGACCTTCTGCATTCTGCAATTTAGTGCATTTAAGTTATTCTAGAATGTTCTCTCTGCGCAGGTTCAGCGCGCAGGTCATAATCAATAACTCGATATAAGGATTATTATATATTATTACATATATATCCATATATTTATTTAAAATTCTCTAAAAATTTAAATACTACTTGAAAAAAAATATTTAAAAATATAAAAATAGGAGCCGACCAGCAGCGGGAGCATGGTCTAAGCTACCGGAGGTAAGGGGTTCAGAGACAGAAACCTCCTCACGATGCGTGCCGTTTCAAGGAGAACTGCCTTCTGTATCAAGCCCTATCCCAACTGCCAAACGCCAGCGTCCTAAGGTGGTTGTCGAGGCTATTCGGGATTAACCCATTAGCATACACGACTATCGGCACAATGATAGCCGAATCCACATTCCACATGTCGACAGCCTCGTGAGTCAAATCAAGATATTTTATTTGTTTTTTTTTTTAGCTTTCACGAGGTTCTCATCTTGTTTGAGATGGGAAAACCATCCCATTGAATAGCGTGCACCCCAAAGAGAAATTAGACCACCATGGATAGGATCCAAATGGGGATTGGATTGATGCCCAATTCGGAGCCACGGACGACATAACCGGTTTGAAACAGAAGTAGGAATGAGTTGTTTTTAGTCCGTCGGAGTCTGACACTCCCTCTCCCCTCATTCAGGTGGTGAGGAGTTATTGAAAAACAGACAGTGCACTACACTCTCTAGTCGTGTCTGTGGTCGGACTCTGTGCAGTATATTCCCGTGCATTGAGAGTCGTGGCAGTCAAAATCAAAGTCAAGTCAAAACATTTATTTCAATTAAACCATAATTTGGTACTATTGAAACGTCAACAAATTTAGTATAAATAATAGTCAGTCAGTCTGTCCGTCAGTGAATCTCGGTGCTCGTTTCTAAATGTAGATTCGAATGGAGAAGAACGAGCAAGAAACTTCATTCGTTAGATACTATGGACCTTCTGTATTCTGCAATTTAGTGCATTTAAGTTGTTCTAGAATGTTCTGTCTGCACTGCGCAGGTCTAACGCGCAGGTCACAATCAATAATTCGAGGAGTGATATATTAGGATGCAGTTATATAGTATTTATGCCATTAAACAAGATATAAACAATCAGAAGGTTTACCTGTATATTGGAAACGGGATTCAAATTAATCCATAATTTAAAAATTCAAAACATGATTTCCTAATCATCAGGAGATATTGGCATTGGACATATCTAATATGATACGTTTAGTAGGCAGTTCAATATTCCATCAGCCTACAACCAGGACAGCGGACAATCTTAAGCCTATGGGAAAGACAGTGCGCTACACTTTAGGAGAGTCTATGGTTGGACTGTGTGCAATATGTTTCCGTGCACTGAGCTACGTGAACCTTCTCCATTCTGCAATTTAGTGCATTAAAGTTATTCTAGAATGTTCTGTCTGCACTGCGCAGGTCTAACGCGCAGGTCATAATCAATAATTTGATGTGTGATATATTAGGATGCAGTTATATAGTATTTATGCCACTAGACAAAATATAAACAAACAAAAGGTTTACTTGTATATTAGAACCAAATTAATACATAGTTTTAAAAATTCAAAACATGTGATTTCCTAATCAGGGGAAGTGAGCTAAAGAGATATATCCATCTAATATGATACGTTTAGTAAGTAGGCAGTCCAACATTCCTTCAGCCTCCGACCAGGGCAGAGAACAATCGCTCGAGTTACCGGGGCTTCACCTCGAAGCAGGAGTAGGAACGGGGTAGTCAGTAAGAGTCTGACACTTCCTCTCGCCTCATTCAGGATGGGACGATATATCGGATGATATATCATTAAATGATTTTCCCCACTTAAAAATAAGTCTATGAGACAGACTGTGCGCTACACTTTAGTTGTGTCTGTGGTCGGACTGTGTGCAATATGTTCCTGCGCACTGAGTGACGTGGACCTTCTGCATCCTGCAATTTAGTGCATTTAAGTTA